GCGTCTTACCGCATAATAATGTTCTAAAGCAGTTAAAATCATCTCCAAAAAAGAAACCACCTGAAGCTCAGCACAGTGGAAAAGTAAAAATGAATAAATGTTGTTTCTAAGTCACAAACCAAATAACACATCATAACCCTCTCCATTGTTTCCACGTTCCCTTTGACCCTATCATTGTATCATAAAATGATTGATGCGCCAAATGAAGCGTTGATCACATTATCAACACTGACCGCCACATTTTAGATTATTGTTTTTTTTAACTAGGCTATGGATAAAAATTGTATTTGATTGAAATGATGTAGAACACATCCAGAATATTTCCATTTGATGGAACAGTGCAGCCATAAAAACATGCACGATCTGGTTTGAATAACTCACTTAGTGTTAATTTTTATTTATTTTACTTTTATTATACCAGGCATGTTAATTTATAACAGATTCTTATTTACACAAACAGCCTGGCAGGAGACAAAGGCCTCCTTTGAATGGATACTGGGATTAAATAAAACAGACGGAGGAGCTATAGAAAGTATCTTGACTGCAAACATCACTACACAGAGCCCAAAGGATGAGAAAGGACAGTACCACCCAGCCACAGTTGGTTCATCCTGCTGCCGTCTGGGTAGAGATCTGCTGTCGCAGCACCAGCTTCTTCCCCCAGACTGAAAGACTTATAAACTCAAACTCATCCTCAGCACTGCTCTATAGAATATGGTTTATTTCTGTTTACCATTCTGTGATTGTTGTATACTGTTTATTATCTGATATACAGTGGGTACGGAAAGTATTCAGACCCCTTTAAATTTTTCACTCTTTGTTTCATTACAGCCATTTTCCACAAATCAAAAAAGTTCATTTTATTTCTCAGTAATGTACACTCAGCACCCCATCTTGACAGAAAAAAACAGAAATGTAGAAATTTTTGCAAATTTATTAAAAAAGAAAAACTGAAATATCACATGGTCATAAGTATTCAGACCCTTTGCCGTGACACTGATATTTAACTCAGGTGCTGTCTATTTCTTCTGATCATCCTTGAGATGGTTCTACACCTTCATTTGAGTCCAGCTGTGTTTGATTATACTGATTGGACTTGATTAGGAAAGCCACACACCTGTCTATATAAGACCTTACAGCTCACAGTGCATGTCAGAGCAAATGAGAATCATGAGGTCAAAGGAACTGCCTGAAGAGCGCAGAGACAGAATTGTGGCAAGGCACAGATCTGGCCAAGGTTACAAAAAAATTTCTGCTGCACTTAAGGTTCCTAAGAGCACAGTGGCCTCCATAATCCTCAAATGGAAGACGTTTGGGACGACCAGAACCCTTCCTAGAGCTGGCCGTCCGGCCAAACTGAGCTATCGGGGGAGAAGAGCCTTGGTGAGAGAGGTAAAGAAGAACCCAAAGGTCACTGTGGCTGAGCTCCAGAGATGCAGTCGGGAGATGGGAGAAAGTTGTAGTAAGTCAACCATCACTGCAGCAATCCACCAGTCGGGGCTTTATGGCAGAGTGGCCCGACGGAAGCCTCTCCTCAGTGCAAGACACATGAAAGCCCGCATGGAGTTTGCTAAAAAACACCTGAAGGACTCCAAGATGGTGATAAATAAGATCCTCTGGTCTGATGAGACCAAGATAGAACTTTTTGGCCTTAATTCTAAGCGGTATGTGTGGAGAGAACCAGGCACTGCTCATCACCTGTCCAATACAGTCTCAACAGTGAAGCATGGTGGTGGCAGCATCATGCTGTGGGGGTGTTTTTCAGCTGCAGGGACAGGACGACTGGTTGCAATTGAGGGACAGATGAATGCGGCCAAGTACAGGGATATCCTGGACGAAAACCTTTTCCAGAGTGCTCTGGACCTCAGACTGGGCCGAAGGTTTACCTTCCAACAAGGCAATGACCCTAAGCACACCGCTAAAATAACGAAGGAGTGGCTTCACAACAACTCCGTGGCCAAAGATTATTAGAATAGCCTTTGTAGTAAATGAGCATTTCTTAATTGTTAGGACAGAGTAATTGTAATTATTAATTAAATATTGATCAATCACAAACACAACATACAATACAAATCAATCCTTACTGTACAAATATCAGATTTGTGCCACATTCACTTGACACAAACAAGTACCTACACAAATCTAATTTTATTTAGGCCTACAAATAATGGAAAACAGTGGTCTTCTTCTGTCCTACTGCGTAAAGTGCTTCTTATATCCACTGCTGTCTCTTCCCAATGTCACAAATAACTAAAGTAACAATAACCCTCTTATCTCATGATGATTTCAGTGTCTTCTAAAATGGCAAAGTCTTACAGAAGTATGGCACCATGGTGTTGCAGGATATTCTATCTATAAGTTAGTGGTGGGTCATCTCTCTATTTAATTATGCATTAATTACAGGTGCTGGTTATATAATTAGAATATCATCAAAAAGTTGATAGTTGTGATCGCTCAGAGGAGAGGAATGAGCCAGGAGAGGAGCCATTCTGGCCCAGCTTGGACTTAATTCTGCTCCTAAAGATCTGGTCTGGGCAAAATGGGACTCATTGTAGACCAAGCAAAGGAAACCAGAGACTGTTGTGGCCACATCGTTACAGAGACCTGCCCCGTCAACATCCCGGTTCAAGCACTCAGCAGGTGGTCCATGTTCCGAGTTGCAAGCGCAAGACTCCGGCAAGATGAGAGGAGGTGGACTTAATTCTGCTCCTAGAGATCTGGTCTGGGCAACTCATACCAACGTTACCAACTCATTGTTGACCAAGCAACGGAAACCAGAGACTGTTGTGGCCACATCGTTACAGAGACCTGCCCCGTCAACATCCCGGTTCAAGCACTCAGCAGGTGGTCCATGTTCCGAGTTGCGAGCGCAAGACTCCGGCAAGATGAGAGGAGGTGGACTCTGTTTATTGTGAAGATGAAACTTTCATATTATCATCTGGTTGCTGCAGTTTACATTCACCCCAGATGCAAATTCAAAAAATGGGTAAAAGGATGGATTAGCACAGCAGGTAGCAGGGATTGTCTGAGCTACAGAGAGCTGGAGGGCAGTAAAATGTGTTTTGCGGTGAAAAATATTCCTGGGCGGCTCAAGTAGCCTAAATATGTGGGGAACTATTTAAATTTTAATGTCTTCCAGCTGTGTGTCTAGTTACTTTTTTGGTCCAGTCATGATTAAGTGATACTGTAGTGTCATATAAATTGGATTCAACTGTGGTCTTCTATGACGAGTTTGCACAATGTTCTGAGATGTAGTGAGGTGTGTGTGTGTGTGTGTGTGTGTGTGTGTGTGTGTGTGTGTGTGTAATTTAATCAAAGTTGTAATTGTAAATTTTTGGGCATATTTTCCAGGAAGGTGCCCAGGTTACGGCCCACTTGTGGCACAGATCTGGCATCAGGAGTGGACCGCCCAAGTGCCATCATTCCATGCGGTATGTGGGCCGGATTAAAGTGACAGGTGTGGGCCGGATCCGGGCCACAGCAATTTTGCTATCTGGGTAGAATGACATTTTACACATGAAAAATAAGAAATAACAGTAAAATACTGTTCTGTGACTGCTGCAACTTACAATAACAACTTTAACCATAACATATGATAAACCATTAAAATATGAGGATGGCTTTAAAATGACTAAATATGAACCCGTTAACTGTTTTTTTGCTTACTCAAATGCTTGCTGTGACTTACTGGTAAAACACATTATTTCCATCTGTCACATTGGCTCCAGCTGAGGTGAAGACATGTCAGCTCAAGTTTTAATGTTTCAGCTTCAATAAAAAATCCTCCTTTATCCTGAATGAACAGAGACGAGAAGAAAGTGAATCCAGGCGCTGCGTAAAGTAAATTTCTTGGCGCTCGTCGCTTTAACGCTCACGTTCAGTAGGTACAGGAGAGGATGCTGGGAGCTCACCAGCATTCTCTGCCAGGATGTGTAGAAAGAGTGAGCGCTCAAGTTCAGCATGAACCACGTTATAGTTTAGATTCACGTACCTGTGAGGATCAACATCTCTGCGTCTTCCTCTGTGATGTTCGTTCCTTTCTGAAATCAGGACAAACCCAAGCGAACAAGAAGCTCGGCCAGAAACTAGGACTTGTGTTTTGAACCTCATGTAAGCTTGTTCTGTTTTTATCATTTGAGAAATGCGGCCGAGGTGAAGTCTTTCATTTCAGCCGCAGACCGATATCCTCCCTATATACCTGTCTGAGTCAGAAATCAGTTCATCGCCTACAGTTGGTCCAAAATGCTGCCGCTCGCTGCAGAAAATGTGAGCACATCAGCCCAGTGTGAGCGTCCTGCTTCCTGTTTCTTTTAGGACGCACTTTAAAATCCTTCTGATCACTTTTAAGGCCAGACATGGGCACGCACCTTCTCTGACCTTTTATCCCCATATGAGCCAGGACGCAGACTGAGATCCTCTAGTAGGGCTCTGCTAACTGCTCCAAAGTCTAGGCTCAAAGCCAAAGGGGACAGGGTCTCTGCTGTCAGGGCCCCTACAGGCTCAGAGTCTGCTCCTGGTTTCATCTCACTTCTTAGACACATTTCTACAAAAAGCTTTCACTGTGTGACGCCTCATTTATTTTCCTTTATTGACAGATGGATTGTTTTAAAGCTCTTTGTTCCCCGTGTTGAAAAGTGCTCTACAAATAAAGCTTTTATTATACAGAGGAGGTGTGCAGTGGCAACGGACCAGCAACGGACCCCTCGGCAACCGGTCCGGACCACAAGGACCGCGTGGACCACTAGTTCATATTTCTACAGACGAGACAGGAGGATGCTGGGAGAAAAGAGAGGCGGGAAGCTGAACTACCTGGTGAGGTCTGAAAATGAATCTGTGTCTGATAGATGATTCCAGCCGTCGTCGTACTTGAAACAAGTTAGCATAGCATCGCCCTGACTGAGCAGAACTCCATTTAGAAAACAAGCGTTTTAAAAGATGTTTGCTTGTCATCTTGAAGACAGACCTGACAGAGCAGGAATTCATATGTTCAACAAATCAGCATCATTTTGATCAGTTTATTGAAATGAAATCACAGCAAAATGTTTATTTTGGCTTCAAACCGCTGCAGGAAACCAGATTATTGAATTAGATCTGAGTGCATAAACAGCACTTTAATAACATAACATCTTTGAGTCCAACAGATTACTGTAAGCTTCTGATTTCCTCTGGTAACAGTTCATGACCTGTGTACTGGAACATAATGACTGCTAGTATATTGTGCTGGAGTCTACTGGTCCCTGGGTTGGTTTTACTATGTTGTCTGTTTTGTGTTGACTTGTACTGACTACAGATGAAAAACAGCCTTCTGGCTAAATCTGGCATATTTACTGAAATGTTTCAGCTTCAATGAAAAATCCAGCTTTATCTTTGAGGAATGAACAGAGAGACAAGAAAAACCAGAACCTGGAGGAAAGAGACTAAAGAAGTGGAGTTTCTGCTGAGTTCTGAGATCAACGTCTGAAGGACTCGGTACGCTTCAAACAAACTAGATCACGTGACGTCTGTTTATACCTGCTCCAAATGTCAACGCTGGAAGACAAAGATCACAGAGTCCAGATGTTTCAGAGGCCTGAACCAGGTCCACTGGAGGCCTCTGGGTTTAACTGCTGTGCTTTGATCCAGTGTGTAGTGAGGAGGAAGAGGCGCTGAATAAACAGGGACTACAAAAACACTACAGACCACATTTGTGTTCAGGCTGAACAAACCTTTGTTCTTGTGAAAGTCTGACTGAATCAAATCTTATTGTGTCTTCATTCTCTGAGTCCATTTTAACAGCTGGCTGCTTTCTGTTCTGTCACTAAATGTGTTGCTTTCTGTTTAACTTGCATCCTGCCAGGGTTGGTGCTGGAATAATCTGAGCTGGACACTTGAGACTTGGACTCGAGTCCTTTTCAATGTTCTCATTAAAGGAGTCGACACAAAGAGAAGCTTTGACTCTTCGTTTGAAACTGGACCTTCAATCAACTGTTTCCTTTCAACAAGATTTGTTGTGGCTTCAGAAAATGTGACAAATTGTGACGGGTCCAAAATCTAAAGACAGCAGCTTCCAGCATCTTCTAAATCCTGCTGCTGTAGAAAGTTCTGACATGTGGTTTAACTTGACTCTTAACTTCCTGTCAGTGGTTCTGATTTCCTGCAGCTGCTGACTTCTCTGTGTCTGTAGAAATAAAGTTTGTTTGACTGCACGCATTAGAACGAGCCACAAATATCCAGAGAGCCGCAGCTGTTATCCAGCCGCTGGGAGGTTCACAGGAAACACGCCCGTTCAAGCCATGTGACATCACGCTGACCTCACTCTGACATCACTGATCAGCAGGAATCAATAGTGAGTGTGTAGACTGTGTGTGAGAGTCAGTAGGAGGAGTCAGAGTGAAGAGGAAGCTGACAAAGCGTCCTCCTGTCTTCATCCGTCCTCCATCAGCTGCTTCACCTCCATTTTCTCTCTGATCCAGAGTCAGATCGGATCAATGATCAAAGATCAAACAGATTGATCGGCCATCAGAGGAGTTGGATCAGTGGAGCTGCTTCTGTTCCTGCTTCTCTCTGCAGAGGAGACAGAGGACAGTCAGACAGAGACAAACACAGAGACTCTGACCTCAGTCTGCATACTGACCTTTGACCCTGAGATTAACTCTTTTCTCTCTCATGAGGTCTCCCTTCTTGTTTAAGACGTCGCAGTCGTATCGTCCTCCGTCTCTGTCTGTGGGGGATTTCAGGGTCAGACTGAGGTCTCCAGTTCTCAGCAGGTCTTCCTTCATCTCTGTTCGGTCTCTGTAAACCTGGTCCTGTTGGTCAGGCTGGTCAGAGCCGTTCTGATACACGTGGACCTTCTTATAGGGATCATAGTGGATCCACCACACTGTAGCGTCCTCAGGCAGGTTCTCTGTGGTCTTGCAGGGCAGCAGGACAGACTCCGCCCCCTCCTCCACCTCCACCTGACAGACTGAGAGGACAACAAAGCAGAACATGAGCTGCACAGACAGCAGCAGCAGTTTGAATAACTTTATTGACAGAAGCAGATGAGAGCAGCAGCTAACAGGGGACAGAAACACAGGAAGCTGTTGGAGATGATCAGAGTCTTGATGCTGCTGGGATTGTTTTGTCCATGTGCTGCTTCACAGTAATGTCTCCTGTCAGTGTTGAGCTGCTGGACTTTTACATTTCTGGATCTAAAGCTGAACTTTGAAGAGAAGAAGCTTTCAAATGTTTTCATCTCTGTTCTGTAAATGAATCTCAGCTCCACATGTTCAACATCAGTCCAGAACACCGAGACACACAAACATCTGATCTGGATCTGATCCCAAACTGCTCTTCCTGCTTCATCAATATTTGGCCTTTTCTTCTGCCGACTCTGAGCCCACTTTTCTTTCCAAACGGCTTCAACATGATGTGAAGAGAACTGAGCATCAATCTTTCATTGATCCAAACTATTAAAGCTGCATTTCTTTGTTCTGAGTGATCAACACATTTGGTTTCTTTCAGCTTTCTTCTTGATCAATACTGGAAATCAATAACTTATTGATCTCATTCTTTCCATCCATGGAAATGATCTCCTGGATTATTCTGGTTTCCTGTTATGACGTCATTTCTGATCACCTGCTGAGCATTTTTACACTGAAATATTGGTCCTTTTATTTTTTAAAGTTACTTTGCTGGGCGCTGGATAAAAAAGCCAAAGCTGCAGGTTGCAAAGAGGTTGGAGAGTTTCTGACTGCATCAGTAATAATTTACAACACATTTGTCTGTCCTCCCAACATCAGCTGCTCTCACTATCTCTGATATCTCTATATTTTTCAGATATTGTGCTACAGCTTTCTGTGTGTCCTTTACTCCGTCTCCTGTTGGGCCTAATAAACCTTCAAGGTTCACTTCCTTCCTGCCTGACTCATCTTTTGATTCAGCCTCATCCTCTCATCCCTGTATTTCCTACGTCTGATTGACTTTTGCCCATTAAAACAATGTTTTATTTAAGCCTGTATGATCAAACCTCAGCCTGGTTAAAACGCTCTCCTCTCTTCTGTTCCCTGAGCATTAATAGATTTTTACAAGCTGTAATATTTCCTTCCACTTTTATCCACATCCCAGCCGTCCTGCCATTTCTTCATGGTTTCTTTTCTGATTATCGCCTCAGCTTCTCCTTTTCCAAGGGCTGTATTTATGACATCGTTCGTCCCGGTTGATTCTTTAGCTGTTTTGTCTGCTCTCTCATTCCCTTTTATACCTACGTGGGCAGGTACCCAGCAGAATCTCACATCTATCCGTAGTGTCTGGAATCTAAATAAACTCTGTTGGATTTCTAGCATTAGATCTTCTCTATCAGATTTCATATTTTGAATACTATAAAGGGCTGCTAGAGAATCAACACAACACACCCCTCTGTCTGGTTTTACTTCCTCAACCCACTGCAGTCCTACAATAATCACCATCATCTCTGCCGTGTACACTGAAGCCTGATCAGGTCATCTTTTCCCAACGCTTACATTCATTGTTGCTATATATATTCCTATTCCTCCCTCGTCCTCTTCATCTTTAGATCCGTCTGTATACATATCTAAGTAATTGTAATATTTGCTCCTTATTATGTAGCTACCAGATAAGAAACCTTTGATCCAGTTATACATTTTACCTCCAATACCCATTTTATCTCGCTGTATTAAAAGACCTCCTGCGCCTTCTCTATGCTCTCTGTTCTCTCAGCCATGTTTCTTGAATACAGATAACGTCAGGCTTTACATTTAACTGTTGCACATTTCTCTTAAATTCTTGTCCATTTGCAATCAGGCTTCTGGCGTTCCACTGAAGGAAAAAAAAGTTCATAACCCAATTATATGTTCTACCACCAATACACACCTTGGTAGATCAGTCTTTAGCTACTGTAGCTAGCCAGTCCTGTAGCTAGGTAGTGCAGAACGGCCTGAGTTAGCCTGTGGTAGCCGTTCCCCGGCATCCCCTGAGCAGCCAGGAAAGGGGGGGGGGGCTGGGTGACTGTCCGAAGGAGGAATAGTCGTAAGCATTCAAAGTCCACGGGGCATCATCAACCTGTTCACGTTTCTAACAGATTTTCCCCACTCAGCGACACACCCGCTGAGAAACCAACTCTGATCATTGGCAGCTCCATTTTGAGAAACGTGAAGTTAGCGAAGCCAGCGGCCATAGTTAAGTGCATCCCTGGGGCCAGAGCGGGCGACATTGAGTCTTATTTGAAACTGCTGGCTAAGGATAAACGCAAATACAGTAAGATTGTTATTCACGTCGGCGGTAAGGACTCCCGGTTACGCCAATCGGAGGTCACTTAGATTAATGTTGAGTCGGTGTGTACATATGCAAAAACAATGTCGGACACCGTAGTTTTCTCTGGACCCCTGCCAAATCTGACCAGTGATGACATGTATAGCCGCATGTCGTCATTCCGCCGCTGGTTGTCGAGGTGGTGTCCAGCAAACGATGTGGGCTTTGTTGATCATTGGCAGACTTTCTGGGGAAGACCTGGTCTGATTTGGAGAGACGGCATCCATCCCACTTGGGAAGGAGCAACTCTCATTTCTAGAAATCTGGCCAAGTTTATTAGTGGACCAAATCCATGACAACCCAGAGTTGAGACCAGGAGGCAGAGTCGCAGTCTAACACACTTCTCTGCTCCTCCATTTCAGCAGTTACCCACCCAAAACCCTACGCAGAGTCGCAGTCTAACACACTTCTCTGCTCCTCCATTTCAGGAGTTACTTAGTGAAAATCCTATAGTGACGGTGTCTGCCCCCCGACCATCGAAATTATTTAAATCAAAGGTAAACAGAAGAGGAGCTGTGCATAAAAATCTCATAAAAATTAAAACCACAAGAGCAATAGTGCAAACTAATAGGAAAATTAAATGTGGACTCACAATCAGATCTCTCTCTTCTAAAGTTGTACTAGTAAATGAACTAATATCAGATTATGATATTGATTTATTTTGTCTTACTGAAACCTGGCTGGGTGATGGAGAATATGTTAGCCTAAATGAATCCACCCCTCCCAGTCATATTAATACTCACATTCCTCGAGGCACAGGCCGAGGAGGTGGAGTTGCAGCTATCTTCGACTCTAGCCTACTAATCAGTTCTAAACCTAAACTAAATTATAACTCATTTGAAAGTCTTGTTCTTAGTCTTTCGCAACCAAGTTGGAAATCACTGCAACCAATTCTTTTCATTATAGTGTACCGAGCACCTGGTGCCTTAAAACGGAAAAAGTTATTATTGTAGGGGATTTTAATATTCATGTGGACGTTGAGAATGACAGCTTCAGTACTGCGTTTATCTCTTTGTTAGATTCCATTGGCTTCTCTCAGAGTGTTCATGAACCGACTCACTGTTTTAACCACACCCTCGACCTTGTTTTGGTGTATGGTATTGAAATTGAACATTTAGTGGTGTTCCCACAGAATCCCTCTTTATCTGACCACTGTTTGATAACTTTTGAGTTTGTATTGCTGAACTACACGCCATTGGGCAAAAATTTCTATACAAGATGTCTGTCTGATAGTGCTGTAATCGCGCTGCGAATAACACTCGACTCTGTAGCCCCTCTAAAAAAGAAAATACTAAAACAAAGACGGTTAGCTCCATGGTATAATACTGAAACTCATTCTGAATATTTGAAACTTGAGAGGAATTGGCGTTCCACCAAAGTGGAAAATTCTCATTTAATTTGGCAAGATAGTCTTAAAACTTATAGGAAGGCCCTCCGTAATGCCAGAGCAGCGTACTACTCGTCATTAATAGAGGAAAATAGGAACAACCCAAAGTTTCTTTTCAGCACTGTAGCCAGGCTGACAGAGAGTCACAGCTCTATTGAGCCAAGTATTCCCATAGCTCTCAGTAGTTACGACTTCATGAGCTTCTTTAATGATAAAATTGTAGCTATTAGAGACAAAATTCACCAAGACCTGCCCTCAACTGGCACCAACTTATCTCTAAACTCAGGAATCTTAGAAACAGCTGTAGAACCAGATATATGTTTAGACTGTTTTGCTTCCCTCAATCTTTACCAACTAACAATAATTTCTTCATCTAAACCATCAACCTGCCTCTTAGACCCCATCCCGACTAGGTTGCTTTGATTTTTTACCCTTAGTCAGCACTTCTATGCTAGATATGATCAATCTATCTCTATCAACAGGCTATGTACCACAGTACTTTAAAGTAGCTGTAATTAAACCTCTTCTGAAAAAGCCCAACCTTGATCCAGATGTTTTAGCCAACTATAGACCTATATCTAACCTTCCATTTCTTCCATCTAAGGTTCTGGAGAAAGCAGTTGCTAAAAAGCTGTGTGACTTTCTACAGAGCAATAGTTTATTTGAGGATTTTCAGTCAGGATTTCATGAGTTCATCATTGCACAGAGACAGCACTGGTGAAAATTACTAACGACCTCCTTGCATCAGACAAAGGACTTGTCTCTGTACTGGTTTTATTAGATCTTAGTGCTGCATTTGATACCATTGACCATCAGATCCTATTGCAGAGACTGGAACATTTCATTGGCATTAAAGGAACCGCTCTAAGCTGGTTTAAGTCCTATTTATCAGATCGATTTCAGTTTGTACATGTTAACGATGAGTCCTCCATGCGCACCAAAGTTAGTCATGGAGTTGCACAAGGATCTGTCCTCGGACCAATCCTCTTCACTTTATATATGCTTCCTTTAGGCAATATTATCAGGAAATATTCCATAAACTTTCATTGTTATGCAGATGATACTCAGTTATATCTATCGATCAAGCCAGATGAAACTCACCAGTTAGCTAAACTTCAAATATGCCTTCAGGATGTTAAAACCTGGATCACCTGTAACTTTCTAATGTTAAACTCAGATAAAACTGAAGTTATTGTTCTGGGACCTAAGCACCTCCATGACGCATTATCTAAAGATATAGTTTCCCTTGATGGCATCGCCCTGGCCTCCAGCACCACTGTGAGGAATCTTGGAGTTATCTTTGATCAGGACATGTCGTTTAAGTCTCACATTAAGCTAATTTCAAGGACCGCCTTTTTCCACCTACGTAATATTGCGAAAATCAGGAACATCCTGTCTAAAATGATGAAAAACTAGTCCATGCATTTGTTACTTCTAGGCTGGATTACTGCAATTCCTTATTATCAGGCTGCTCGAAAAAGTCCATTAAGACTCTTCAGCTGATCCAGAATGCTGCAGCATGTGTTCTGACAGGAACCAGGAAAAGAGATCACATTTCTCCTGTTTTAGCTTCTCTGCATTGGCTTCCAGTAAAATCCAGAATAGAATTTAAAATCATTCTTCTTACCTACAAAGCTCTTAATGGTCAGGCACCATCTTATCTTAAAGAGCTCATAGTACCTTACTACCCCACCAGAGCACTGCGCTCCCAGAATGCAGGGTTACTTGTGGTTCCTAGAGTCTCCAAAAGTAGACTAGGAGCCAGAGCGTTCAGCTATCAAGCTCCTCTCCTGTGGAACCAGGTTCCAGTTTGGGTTCAGGAGGCAGCCACCATCTCCACATTTAAGAGTAGGCTTAAGACTTTCCTCTTTGATAAAGCTTATAGTTAGGGCTGGCTCAGGTGAGTCCTGAACCATCCCTTAGTTATGCTACTATAGGCCTAGACTGCCGGGGGATTTCCCATGATGCACTGAGCTCCTCTCTCCTCTACTTTCTCTCCCTCTGTATGCAACCTCATCCCATTATTGCATGTTACTAACACAACTTCTCCCCTTTCCGGTAGTCTTGTGCTTTCTCGTCCCTCTCCTCTCTCCTCCTATCACTTCCTGCAGGTGTTTCTGGCTCTGGAGCTGTGGAGTCTGGATCTGTGGTTGCGGGTCACCTGCTGCTCCCGTGTTCCTGCTCGACACCCTCTGCTACAACAATTATTGTTAATAGTCCTATTATTATTATTATTATTATTATTATTATTATAATCATTAACATTACGATTGTTATCATTAACACTACTATAGATATCTGTACCATTTTTCATTTAGTCTATAGCAACATCACCTTCACTGTCTGTACCTCTGTGTGTATATTGTGTAGGCTGCCTCCCTCCCCTCTCTCTCCTTCCATCCCTCTCTTTTTCTCTCTGTTCTCTCCTGCTCTCTCTCTCTCTCTCTCTCTCTCTCTCTCTCTCTCTCACCCCAACCGGTCGAGGCAGATGGCCGCCCACCCTGAGCCATGGTTCTGCTTGAGGTTTCTGCCTCTTAAAAGGAAGTTTTAAAAGGAAGTCCCACCAAGAGCAAGTAGTGCTTGCTCTTGGTGGGAACTGTTGGGCTTCTGTAAATAGCATCACAGAGTACGGTCTAGACCTGCTCTTTCATGAAAAGCGCTGTGAGATAACTGTTGTTGTGATTTGGCGCTATATAAATAAAATTGAATTGAATTGAAATTGATGTTATCACCTAGCTTGTTTACCAGCTTGTTGGACTGTAAGTCACCTTCTACAGCTAGAGATGTGCAGATTGATCAGCTGGGGACTGAAACAGGCCATTTTGTTTTCGCTTCCCTGACCAGTAACTGGGGCCGAGCAGCTGCACTGTGTCGTGTTTCATGTGTTTGCACAGACAGTAACCTCATGTCACAGCCACACACAAAGTTCTTCACTAGAGTGAAGGAGACGCAACGCTCACTATTTAGGCTACAGCACTGACCTTTGACCTGCAGCAGGACTTGTTTCTTCATCAGGATGTCTCTCTCCCTGCTGTAGACGGTGCAGGTGTAGGTTTCTCTGTCTCTGTCTGTGGGGTATTTCAGGGTCAGACTGAGGTCTCCAGTTCTCAGCGCATTTCTCTTCATCTCTGTTCGGTCTCTGTAAAAACTGTGCTGTTCTTCAGGCTGGTCAGAGCCGTTCTTATATACGTGGAGCACATCGTTGTCTCCGTCCCTCCACTCCACTGTGCCGTCTTCAGGCAGGTGAACTGTGGTTTGCAGGGCAGCAGTACAGACTCCACCTCTGAATCCACCTCCACCTTGTAGACTGAGAGGACAACAAAGCACAACATCAGCTGTACAGACAGCAGCAGGAACTCTGAAATATGTCCCATTGTTCCATCTAACAGAGACAGTCTTGTCTTTGGTGTCTCTACAATCAACAGCACAACTGACTGTTTATTAAATCACTGGTATTATTGTCAGAGGGACTCAATCAAATCTTTATTAAAGTTAGAATCTGAAGGTTTTCATTAAATAAATGTCTGTTCAGTCACTGTCTATCGTCTAATGAGGTAACACAGTGGTGACTGAGCCTGTGGCCCCCAAAGTACTGCAGTATTTACATATCTGCAGTATTACCAAGGGAAAAACTGCAGTATTAAGTTGCTGCTAATGCAACATTTCCTGCTGCTGCAGCTTCACATTAAAAGCATCTAACTGGTGAAACACCAGTTGACTGTTATTATGAAGGAGTCTGATTTAATCTTTTTTTTTTCTATTCACATTATCTAACTCCACAGTACTTAAACTTGATTCATTGGAGTTAATCATTTTCAGGTGATTGTTTAACACACTATATGAAGGTGTGCATATTTTTTATGCAGCTTCTTTTCCTCAGGTCAAATGGGCCAAAAATGTTGTTTTAATTTAACATGCTCTATCATCTTCCCAGCTAACGTTACTGTTCCCAGCGACTTGTGGATCGACGGCACATTTTTATGGCTCCATCAACAGATAATCTTCCATTTGCAGCCCTGATCATCTAAGAAACTGATCAAAGTCTCTATATTTGAAGACGTCCCACACTGTCAGTAGTTTCATCAAGATCACTGTAAATGAATGTGTCAGCTTTCCTTTATGTTCTGGTCCAGTGGCCAGTGCTCATTATTATGAGGAGTACACTATGATTATTCCTCTTCACTGTAACTCAAATAAATCGTTTTTTCCTAGACAAACTACTTCCAGGTGACAGTACTGGCAGATTGAGGTTCTGACATAAAGAACAGTGTGAGACTGATGCTAAAGAGAAGACATCAGCATTCCCAAAGGGTCGTCACCAGTTGGATGTAAAGGAGGAAACAAGATGAATTGATGTGGAGAGAATTATCGGTCCACAACAAATACTGTCTTCAAAAAGTCCTATAAATCTGGTTCTCCATGTGAGGATGTGATGTTCTTAGACAAAGATCTCACAGTCTGCTGTGGTCGGACAAATATATGTCCAGGTGTTGTGCTGTGAAGCTAAACTAGTCTCTAAAGTTGAACAAAGCAAGAGGTCATGTATTGTGTCTCCATGAGAATCTGACTTGCAGGATAATCATTGCTGTTGCTTCCGGTTCTGTTCAGTTTATCTCTTTAACTTCCCCAACTTTTTATACAACAGCATACCAAAGACTTTAAATGACTTTCATCTGTTTCTTCACAGGGTGCCTCCACAAAGATTCTTCTCTGAGATCACATAACCTGCACCATAACATAAGCTGGTAACATGCTTCAGCTTCAGTAGCTCAGTATTAACCAGCAGCTTCACCCCAGAAAAAAACTGAGTGATTAAACACTTTACGTGACGGTTTATATTCTCTCCAGCTGAGCTGTCCAACAGATTCTCCTTAGCTGAGGCCAACACACTGTTCATCACTTAATGCTAATGTTGTTATCTCTATTCACCTGATAGATGCCAACACAGTGAAAATTGATTTTAAAAAAAGCATTTACCAACCATTCACCACATGCTCAATTAAAACAGCGATCTGAGTGACTTAACTTAATCTCAACAGGGAGTTTGTTCCATTCCAATGCTGACGTGTACAAAAAGGTGTTTTATAGCTCTTAAATCTACAAGGTACCACGTCCATGGCACTGCCGCTAGTTGAGTAGCTATGAGAGTTCCTGATCTTAAAATAGTCTTTAAAATACCATGGCTCGTTCCTATGCAAAATCTTTGTGTTAATCTCAGTTTCAACTGCCTCACTGTTTTTCAACTGTCAGCCATTTTACATTCTTAAATTCAGAAGAGCCGACATGGGTCCTATTATTGAGGTCAACCTGACCAATTTTTCTGTGCGTTTGAAGTTGAACTTTTAACCTCTTGGAGGTGCTGCTGTACCAT